ACATCTTTAGAAATTAGAGAGAGCTTCTCTTGTGGTGTGTGTTACAAGTGAGGGGTGAGGGTCCTATTTATAGCCTAAGGTGGAGTAGGGGCTACTCCAACACCACGTCATCGATCTAGGTGACACCTTCACCTTGCCCTTAGATCAAACAGCCAATGAAACCGACTTAACCAACGCTTGGGATGGCTCACACTTGTGCTTCTTTGCATGTTGTCCAAAGGAGAGGCGGTGGAGCGAAAGTGGGGCTCCGAGCGGCGCCCCACCCACATCGGTTGGTGGCCCACTGTGGAGTGGGCCCTCCTCCTTCGGTGCGGTGGCCCCCCGGTGATGTAGAGTATGGGTATGCATGAGATTTTGTCCATTTGAGCACCGTCATATGCATGGTGATTCCTACAATCCACGTGATGCTTCATTCGGACACTTCATCATGCACCGACTTGAAATCAACGGTGGACGAAGCTTGGGACTGTGTTTCTTGCACTTTTGTACTGTTATGCTGATCATGAGTGAGTCATCTGGTGCTATTTTCCTTTTTTTCTACTGTTATGCTGATCATTTCTGTTTAGTCATTAAACTAGTCTACCTTTTGTACAAAACTAGTTTTTTTGACATCATCACCTTGCCTCTCTGATCTGTATTTTTGCCCGTTAAACAAATTGGTGCGATGCATAAGGATGAAAACAGAGTTGTGTATTTTTTTTTTTTTGCAAATAAACCGGGGGTGGGCATGGGGCTGTGGGTTGCAAATAAACCTCGCGTCGCACTGCAGGAGTAGACTTGCATGGCGTCGTTGTGCGCTCTAGGCTGCCCCATGACCTTGGGATCTGGCTGGTGTGGTGCTCCTCACCATGTCACCATCCCAGATCCTCCTCCGAGCGACCGAGCGGGGCCACATATGCACTCGCCGATCTCGCCTTTACAGCTAACCTTTCTCGCCTAAATTATAGAACTACATGCACCCATTTCTCCTCATGCTTGAGCTATCGGCCTTCATTTTCTGGTTGTCTCACTATTATTGCTTTATCATCAACACTGTTTTGCCTAATTTATAACAATATTATTGCTTAATGCCTAACACTATTTTGCCTAACACAATGCACATTTGTTGTGAAACATTCAATACTGAAACTGGCAGAATATTTCAGGGCTTCCAAAAGTAACTGAAACATTGAAACAAAATGCATGGTAAAAATTACCATGTATTCGCTTTCTTTGCATGTCAGCTGGGTGCCTAGACTCTAATAAAAGTGACAGGCAACACTGAGCTTCTGAAAGTAGTTTTCTAGATCATAGGCCTAAGCCTCGGCCCTCAGGTGATTCTTGTACATTGTTAATGTTGATGTCCACATAGAAATGTAACTGGATGGTTGCATCTCGTGATACCGTGATAGTTATATTTTACATAATATATTGTATCATAATTCAAAGAAACAAGACTGAAGGAGTCTCATTTTACCGCTGATTGATTACTTGTGCACATTTGGACTGAAGGAGTCTCATTTTACTTACATGGCCTCTGCTTTCAAATCAGTCAGGCTTCAACAGAAGAAAGGTTGGATTTCCTTCTGTGTGCTGGATTTAAAAGCAAGGATATGAAGATGATCTGATCAGGCAACCACAGATTCTGGAATACACCCTCAGCAACCTGAAATCCAATGTCGATTTTCTCACAGGTCAGCGAGCTCATCTCTTGAGGTCAGGTCAGGTAGCTACGAGCGCTTTGCATGATTGCCTCCCTTTACGATCCATCTTCTTTCTGATAGATACTGGGGAATCAACCAGCTTCTGTGTCCTCTTTTTTGCAGGAATCGACTTCAGGTAACATTTCTCTCTGCAATTTTTAGTTTACCAGCAGCAGTTCAGTGGACCGAAATTGATGTGCTTACGTGATCATTCCTTGCTCTCAGCTAAGATTTAATCATTTTTGTTCACTAGCTAGCTATTGTAACTCGGCCTACAGTTTTTTTAGTTTCAGTCGGTGTTCTGAATTTCATGATACAGTGATTTACCTGTAAGCAATCATGACTTGCATGTACTATGCATCTATAATAGCAATGATACAATGGAAATTTGAAATAGCAAGAGTTGGTGAGTGACTACTATATAAATGGTAGCTCAAACTCTCAAAGTATAAATTTGTTTCTTTCAGTGATCGACAAATTTGTTTCTAGCGAATAGGCTAAATTGCCTAGTAAAAATAGGCTACATTACAGTGATGTAGCTTTAAACAAAAGAATTGGTGAGTGATCGACAAATATTGTTTCTTTTTGACTAGTAAGAATATGCTAAATTGCATATTTAAGAAGACATTGTCGCCTAATGAATGCTATTTAAATTGCCTAAGAAAATGCAGGTTGCTGTGCATTCTCGGATCCTTGCTTTCTCTGTTGATTGGTTGCTTCAGTTCTTATCTGTAGGTCATAGCAACTGCAGCCTCAGCTAGGCCACTATTGGGCAGGCAGCATTTTTGGCACTGCATAGCTTAGCTCTGTTTTCTTCAGGTTTGAGCAGCCGCTTGCTATGTTCTCCCTAGCTTCTTTGCAGCTGCTTGCTTTTTGTATTGATTTATTTATCCTTTTTCCTGACCTATACTAGCTCTTTTTTAGTGCTTGGTAATTTTGTAGCAGCAGCAGCAGTTTTGCAGAAACATTTGCTCTCCAACAACAGTTTCAGGACTTCAGGTAATATTTCTCTCTGCAATTTTTTGTTAACCAACTGTAGTTCAGTGGATCAAATTGATGTGTTTATGTGATCATTCCTTCCTGTCAGCTATGATTTAATCATTTTTATTCACTAGCTACCTGCTGTAACTTAGACTGCATTTTTTTTTAGTTTCAGTTAGTGTTTTGAATTTCATGATACAGTGTTGTACCTTTAAGCTATCATGAATTGCATGTATTATGCATCTATAATATCCTAGTAAGATTACGCTAAATTGCATAGTAAGAATAGACTAAATTATAGTGATGTATCTTCAAACAAAAGAGTTGGTTCAGTGATCGTCAAATATTGTTTTTTTACTAGTAAGAATAGGATAAACTGCCTATTTATGAAGACATTGTTGCCTAACTAAAGATATTTAAATTGCCTAAGCAAATGCAATGTACTGCAGTATTACCAGCAGCAACCTGGGCTCCAGGAACAATAATGTCTTTTCAAATAGGCAACATAAGGTTTTCATTTTTTTAACATATGCATCCTTTTTTTTATCTCCATCCAGCAACAGTTTATGACACATGTTATCCTTTTTTTATCATGCAGGATACAGGCCATGTTCTGAGAAGCAAGGTGCAGGCAATGTACAGAAAAGATGCGAAAATGTGTGCTTTCCTAGGGACTAGATGTACAGTGTTGTGCTCTAGAAAACTGCAGATGTAGATGTGTTCCTTTCTGAATATATTGCCATTTTTTTTAACGTATACATGCAGTACATAAAAGCATATGTTTTTGGGCCTGATTTGTCTTTCTCTCATAAACCATGGTCGATATCTGGGCCTGGGCCGCGCACGCCGCGACTGGTCTCGGTTACATACAGCGGGAAATTTTTCTTCAGTGCGCCAACAAGCCAGGGCCTGCGTGATTAACATGCTTGCCGGAAAAAGGAATATAATAAGTTGCACTTTACTATAAATGGCAAGGCCGTGCGGGGGACTATATTACGGCCGGGCCGGCCGTGCATTAGCTGCTTCCTTTTTTTATTAGAGGAAGAACTTGAAGACACAATTGTGTAAAGCTGAAGAGATCTTTTACCATGGTTACTAAAGTACCTTGGTACCTCCAGGTACTTTCATTTTTTCTATTTTTTAGTTAACTGGGTATTTACGTAACTGAGGTTATGCCCTTCACTTAACCCTCTCACCTCACCTGGCCCCTCTACGACATCGTTAAGCCCCGAAACTCGCCCAATGGTTGTGTTAAAGACCTTTCTTCAGCATCTTTGATTTGATCCCCTGACACGGCTGCTGTGACCGGGAAAGCCGCCAACGTGATCGTCTCCGTGGGCGCCAGGGCAGCCGTCCTCGCGCAGGCCGTCGCGTGGCGGCCCGTGCTGGCCGACGTCGGTATGATGCTACTGCGGGAGCCGGGCACGGGCAGGCGGAGGGGTGGGGCGCCCGAGGCGTGCCGCGCGACGGTGAGGATGAGGTCCCGGCTCGCCAGAGCATCGAACGACACCGCGACCTAGAGCGCTCAGCAGTGACCAGGCGGTGGGAGCGGGGCTAAAGCAGGCTGCCATTGCTGTCAGAAGCCAAGCGAGCCGTTTGAGCAAGAGCACGCAGCAGTGGTGATTGGCATACCGGCACCATCCGCTGCCGCTCAGCATCCTCGGGCGACCGCTCCTAGGTGTATTTGAGCTAATTTAGTACCCAGCCTATTTGGTTCACGATGATAATATATTGCATAAAACTCAACAAAACAGTTTTCCCTTGTAACACACAAATAAGGGGGCGTTTAGTTCGTGAAAATTTTTAGGTTTGGCTAATTAGGTTTGAAAGTTTCGTCTCGTGATTTCTCATCCAACTGTGCAATTAATTTTTTTTCATCTATATTTAATGCTTCATACATGTGTCACAAAATTCGATGTGATATTTTAAGGTGAAAATTTTTGGAACTTAACAGATACTAAAAGTATTGGTATTGCCAAGCTTTCCTCTTGTAATTGCGATTTGACCGGATGACGTCGTCTCTACAGACCGCCACGCGCTCGAGCTCGACCCACCGCCATGGTCGTACCCTCCATGGCTGATGACGCGGCCCCGGGCTAAAGCTGGGTCCGTAACCCTAGACCACCGTCCCCATCCACTGATCCCACGCCCGTCACAAATCTCTTCTGGATTCGGCGGGATTTGGTGGAGGCACGGGAGTTCTCGCTGGAAGACTGCTACCCGGTGCGGAAATCAGATTGGCTGGACAAACCTCCCGTGAAGATCAGCTTCGCGAGAGACATCTTGGGGAGAGGAGGTGAGAAGGAGTCCTTTGCCGCTGTGCTTAAGAAGGAGAAGATGGCGGAAGGTGGGAGTGGGTTTGGCAGACGGAGCCCAGACGTCCGCCTCCTCAGCGCCCGATTCGTCCTCCTCCTCCGTCGCCGCCGAACAACCAGGCTAGGGATCCGATCCAATAGTGATGGCAGGACCCCGGCAGAAGGCAGGGAGCGCCTCGTCCTCCTCCTCCGCCCCGTCCGCAGCAGCAGCAAACACCGCCCCAGCAACCTCAACAACCACAACCTCCACCGCGGAGAGTACCTCAACAGGGGCGTGTGCAAGGTAATCAACAACCAGATCCGCCGTTTAACATTGATCCCAGATATAGGAAGCTTACTTGCTATAACTGTGGAGAACCGGGGCACTTTGTTGGGAATTGCTCACGACCTAAGATCTGCTTAGCTTATGTTCGCTTGTCTTATAATTCATGCCGAAACCGTGTTTTTCTACCGCGACAAATCAGTCGGAACAGTGTTTCGACCTGTTTTTTCAACGAAGCGAAGGGGGCCTTTATCTGTGGAATTCCTGGACACCATATGAATGCCTGTCCGAAGTGGAAGTCAGAGCATCCGGTTGCAACTTTTGTGGGGAGTGCTAGTCTAGGACTTGGATTCTATCACCTTGAGGTGCCCAGTGTTGAATCGACCCAATGGCTCGATCTTACCAATTGTGGGGTTGTTCGAGTGAAAACTGGTCAGATCACCTTGGCTGAGTTAGAGGTAGAGTTGTCTGATATTTACATCAGAGATTGGCCTTGGCAGATAAGGGAGCTGGAACCTGGAAGATTTCTGGTTAGGTTTCCTCCTCATAAGAGGGTCAGTGATATCAAAAACTACCCATCCTTCAATCTGAGAAAGGAAGGAGTGCAGGTTGAGGTCCTTGAGTGGATTGGAGATCTGGAACCACATAGTGAACTAGAAGAGGTCTGGGTTGAGATGAGGGGCATACCACCAAGGTATCACCACTGGAAGGTGTTTGCACAAATTGCTTCTGGCTTTGGCTTGCTAACTGATGTGGACTGGTCTACTGTGTTTAAGACCTTCTATGAGGTAGTCAGAGTTAAGGTGGCATGCAAAGGCTGGAAAAAGATTCCAAGACAGAGGTTGTATGAAATGGGTATGAAGCTTTATGTGGTGGAGCTGACTGTAGAAAATGAGGAAGAAGACACTAAAGCTGCAAATGGGAAGGGCAATGATGATGATGATGGTGGGGGTGATAATGGTGATCAAGATAATGATGAGGAGGCTGATGATTTGGATGACTCAAATGATGACTTTATGAAGACAAGCAAACCTGTAGAGGAAATCAAAGAACAGACTCCAAAGAACACTACACAGAAGAACACTGGATACAAGACTGTGAGCTTGGATATGATCAGTGATGAGGAGGTGAATCCGGATTTAATTATGCAAAGCATGATGAGACAAGGGAATCTGAGTGGTTGACTACTCAGACCGGAAAAGTGGTCCTACAACCCAGCTACTTTGATGTAGCTCAAGTACTAGAGGGGAATGTCAATCAATCTGTTGGGTCTACTTCTTTGAAGGAGTCTAGTCCCAAGATACATAATATAGAGATAACTGAATGTGAAGGGACGAATAAACCTGCTACAGAAAAGGCTAAGAGCACCCTTGAGGGTGGATCTGGGGTTAATAGCTGGAGGACCCCTGAGATAAATCAAGCGCAAAAATCTGACTATCATATAGTGGGGAACAAATTTTACAGTTTGGTCAATGAGGAATCACACCACTCAAAGTTGGAAGAATTCAGATAACTAGCTAAGCAAGACTCTGCTACCGAGGAATGTTCATCACTATTAAGTAGGATGGAACTGGAGGTGTCAGATGACGATCGGAAATTGAGCACAGTGAGAATGAAAGTATGGAAGAGGCTGATGAGATAACTAGTCAGCAAGAGGAGGAAGTCTCTCAGGCAGATTTGGGTAAAATGGCACAATCTTTGGAGGACAAACTATTTTACAAAAACCAAAAGAGGAAGACTAAGTGGGGTCCAACTCTCAGAGCACCAAGACCAAGAAGATCTTCTGATGATGGGAGGACTATTATGGAAAAGGCTCAAGATTTGAAGAAGGCTAAGAATCTGGAAAAAGGTAATAAACATATAGCTTCCTTTGCTTTTGAAAGCAATGCCAAGTTACTTAAAGTGTCCAATGTTGTGAATATCTCTCTACGTAATAATACCTGTCTTGAGTTAGAAAAGTTGAGGCTTTGAAAATGAAAAAATTAGCTGATAGAACTCAGTTTGAGGAGAACAACCCTGAGGTTATTCTTCCTTCAAACCTAGATACTACTTTAGATTATGAGGATTTTCCTCCTCTAAACAATAGTGAACCTCCTTTGAAGGAACAGTGTGAGTCTACAGAAAATTCCTGGGCAAAAGTAGCTTCTAAAAGCAGTAAGGTAGCTGATAATAATTTTGAAAATGATAGGAGCTCTGTGAATATCTCTCTAGGTACTAATACCTGTCTTGAGGAAATGCTTGTTTCTAGGGGTTTCGGGAGCAAATTGAGGGGCTGGTTACAGCAGGTGGTTAGAGGAGGTTCTATTTGTATTCGAATAAATGACGAAAATAGTAATTACTTTAAACCCGGGAAAGATTTGAGACAGGGGACCCTTTATCCCCACTTCTCTTCAATTTAGTAGCGGATATTTTTTTCCAAAATGCTTATAAAAGCAGCTAGGCAAGGTCTTATTTTTGGTTTACTACCTCAAGTGGTAGAGGGAGGTATCATCAGCTTGCAATATGCTGATGACACACTGCTATTTTTAGAAAATAATTCGGAAAAAGCCAGTACCCTTAAGTGGTTGCTGGTGTGTTTTGAGCAAATGTCAGGTATGAAGATAAACTATGATAAAAGTGACCTATTAACAGTGGGATTGGATGAGGACCAAGCTAATGAATTTGCAAGATTATTTTGCTGTAAAAGATGTGACTTTCCTATTAAATACCTGGGTGTGCCTTTACATTTCAATAAATTGACTAGGAAGGATTTACAACCAGTGGTAGACAAAATCATCAAAAGAATTGCTGGCTGGAGGGGTAGATTGTTGTCTTATGTTGGTAGACTTATCTTGCTCAGGGCTTGTTTGGCTAGCATTCTAATTTATTTGTTGTCGATTATCAAATTCCCCAAGTGGGCTATCAAGATGATGAATACTCATATGGGCCATTTTTTTGTGGAATAATACTGAGGAAAAGCATAAGTATCATTTGGCCAGTTGGCAGTTAGTAGCTCAAAAAAAGGATATGGGAGGTTTGGGTATCCCAGACTTGAGAAGTCTAAACTTAGCCTTGTTAAGCTCCTGGATCTTTAGATACCAGCTGCACAAGAATGCTATTTGGGTCAACATTGTAGACTATAAGTATAGAACTAAAGATCCCAACATCTTTTGCTGTCCTGATTTGGGTGCCTCCCCTTTCTGGAAGGGGTGGTATGGGCAGCTCAAGCAGCCCATTTGGGCGTCAAGTGGGTGGTTGGTAATAGGGAGAAGGTCAGGTTTTAGGAGGACCAATGGACAGGTAATACTAGTTTGGCAATTATTTTTTGGCCGCTGTATGTTATTAACGAGCAACATGGTAAAACTGTAAGGTTTGGAATGGTCAAGAACTCATGCTTACTTTTAGGAGAAATGTGTCTGAAGCGCTTATGAGCATGTGGTGGGAGCTGTGTAGTCTAGTTGAGGGGACCTCTCTCACTGATGAGGTGGACCAGATTCTGTGGTCTTACACTTCGCACGGCACTTACTCGGTTCAGTCTCTTTATGCGGTGATCAATTGTAGAGGGGTGGTACCTATGTTTGTTCATGCAATCTGGAAGTTGGTGATTCCACCTAGAGTTCACTTTTTTCTGTGGCTGTTATCTTGCAATAGGCTGCTGACAAGGGATAATCTAAAGAAAAGAAGAGATGTCAGTGATCCAACTTGCCTCTTTTGTTCTGAACAAGAATCTATTTCCCATTTGTTTTTTGAGTGCATTGTTGCGGTGAATGTTTGGAGGATTATATCTGAGGTTTTGGGCGTGGATATTGGTAGTGATTATGAGTCTGTAGCTAAATTCTGGATTGCAAACAAGAAGCATGTGATCACTAATGTTGTTTCTTCTGCGGTGCTTTGGTCTCTATGGAAATTACGCAATGAACTTTGTTTTCAGGGTGTGGTATGGTTGGGTCTGAAGATGGTGCTGATTCGGATTACAGAATGCTAAGGGGATGGTTGCCGCTGTACAAGAAGGAAGCTGGAGTGCAGCTGGAAGGCCTGATCGTCAAGCTGGAGGAGTTATCAAGGCGTCCAGCGTAGATCAAGTGGAAGGAGGGAATCACAACGGCTTTATCATCACAGTTGGATCAATCGGATGCTCAGTCTTCAGTAGATGCCAGGATTGATTTGCTTACGGCTGAGCTTTGTAATGAGCCATTGGGCTAGACCTGTTTTGTTTCTGGGCGTCGCGCGTGAGCGCTAAAACTCTGTCTGAACTCGATGTTTGGCTTTTTGAAATACAAAAGCAGGGGAAACCTATCATCTGAAAAAAAATCCTCCGGCGACAGCGATAGGCGACGCCACCGGATGTTGCAGCGCCACTGGCGGAGCATGTGCTGCTCCCATCAGGATGACTACCGTGGACTGTGCGCCACGACGATTGCCATTGCCGACGCCACCGGATGTTGCAGCGCCACTGGCGGAGCATGTGCTGCTCCCACCAGGATGACTACCGTGGACTGTGCGCCACGACGATGCCATGGCGGCAATGGCAAAGGAGACAGTCACGTGAGCGCAAGGACGAGCTGCTGCCGCAATGGAGGTGGAGGAGCTGTCCGTGATTCTCCTAAGAGGGCAGGGCAAGGATGCAATGCAAGGTGGTGTTCTAGTGGCAAATAAGATCTCTCAAGTCTGGCAGCTTCAACAAAGGGGAGAAAGAACTGGATTCAGAGGGGGCGACAGGTTCAGACAGAGATGGGACGAGAAATCCCATTTGTGCCTTTCAAGGAAGATGCTAAAATTACCAATTTACCCATAACCCAAAAAATAATAAAATAAAAGATAAATCTAGCCCCACATATTTTTTGTTCTTGCTCCCACCTAATTTTGGTACTATCCCACCTATTTAGTACCTCGAGGTACTTTCACATTAGTACCTCCTATTTTTGCACCGTCCGATCTCGTCCAATGGATGACTCATGTTTTTTTTAATCATTGTAAAAATTTCTCAAAGCTGAATGAACAGTGATGATTTAGTGCCCTCCCCTGTCGAACCAAAACACACTGGCCAGTGGGTACGTATACAATTCAGCCAACCTTACCTTACAATAATAGCCTCAGTGAATAAATAAAACTTCCATTCCTGCAATACACAATGGAAAAGATATATATAGCAGGTGGCCATTGTGCATGATAGATCATTTCTAAAATTTCAGAAGAACCAATACAACATGAGGATGGCCACAATAAGAAAACTACATTATGTGATGAGGGACATTTGCAAGGAGGGGAATCATAAAAGCACGCAAGGATTAATACACAGGGGTGAAGCATTATGCAGTGTGTGTAAAAAAGCATAGCACCCGTATTAACACACTGAAAAACACGCAGACTGAACACTGGAGCAAACAAAGGAACAAAACAAAAATAAATTCTTATCTTTAAAAACAGGACATCTAGGGCCTGCATATCCATATTTTCTAAGTCCTAAAGTAAGTTGTCTGGACATCCATTCCATCAATTCATCCATAATTACCCACTTTTGTCACTCCAAAATAGTTGGGTTTTGAGATGTAAATAGTTAATACAACTAATTATATGAGTTCTCAATTTTTCTAAATTGTAGACAATGTTTAGTATTAGATTTCAAATTTTAGTTTAGACAAAACATTATTTTAAAAAAAAAGATAGATCAATTAATCACAGGATATAAAGTTATTCGATGCATTCATGCTAGTGCATGGCTTTATTTGTATATGACTAGTATTATTAGTCTCCCGGTCAGAGAGTTTGTTTTTCTCTACTACAAGGGATCAATCCAAACTATACTAGGTCTCCCAAAAGAATGTCTCCCGCTAAGAAACTCCAACCATTGTACCAACGAAATTATACCCAGGATTACAACATCATTAAAATCAATGGCTCCTAATCATTCCTCGCAGGCTTCAACTCGATCCGATGACCAACGTTATTTGGATCTTCCACCCCCAGGCTTCAACGCACGCCTCCACATCCCGCACACCGCATGCACAACGACGCACCGCATGCACGGCTCCAATCGAATAAGTTTCCTCCAAATAAGTTAGATAAGGCTTCGATTTCCATGAACAACTCAGCAGTGTATCCTTACCATCAGTGTTATTGTATACAGTATTTCAATACATGGAGATGTGGAACGATTTGTGAATCCTTCTGTCATTGATCGCAGGCGCAGGGTTCATTATAGTCAGTTTTGCATATATAGTTTTAGAAAAGTATGATTTTTGGTTCATGCTTTTGGCTGAAATGATAAATTGACTCACAAGTGAAGGTTTGTACGATGAGAGATGGATTCATCGGATTGTAATGTGTATTGCTGAGTTTTGATATGATGTTTCTTGTCCTTATTTATAGTAATATCAAATTAAGTTTGTTTAAAAATCGATTAATCTGGTTTTCAGGTATCACACACTTGCAGAAACGTGCAATGGTAGCAATAAGATGCTCAATTCGCATGGAAGTGCCACTAGGGCAGATTGACGAACATGTTGTTTCTCTGGAGTATGTGCGATGCCTTGT